CTGCAGGGATACAAAGTCCCCCCCCCCCCCAGGATCTATTTCTTGTAAGATGAGAACAAGAAAGGCTATTGCTTAAGTCACTGCCAGTTCTCTCATGGGAGAAAGCCGGTCTGAGAACAAATTGACATCTTCCTCACCTTCTAATTTGTAAGAGGTGGGATTGCTCTTTCTAGTCAGAATCAGTTTTACTTGGGGTCCTGTGGCTTACAGCAGAACACATCCGAAGTGATTCATAGAGCCTATGATGAGGAATTCAGATACTTCATACAGACAAATTAATACATTTAACATCTGTAAGTTCTTTCAGAGTGGCTATCCATATATGGTGTGTCTATCAGGCTTCCCCACAACTTCTATCTCACATATTCTAGTCTGAGATCAAAGTTAAAGATTCTAGAAGTCAGCAGAGGCAACCCTGTCTGTCCCTAGAAGTTATAATCACTAGTTTTTAATTCACCAGGAAAGTGCAGCCTTTATTTTATCTCTAATTTCTCACTCAATAGCCAACGAATCATTTATTCTATTTCTCTAATATTTTTCTAGCTATATCAACTATGGCCTCAAATACTCATCCTTGATTCTTCATGGCCTCCAGCTACTTGCCTATGAACCTATTCCCATTTATAGCAAAACTTCTCAAAGCCACTGTCTGAAATTCTGGTCTCCACATCGATATTGCTCATCCTTCTATCCACCCTTTCCACAAATTTCCAATTTCTGTGCCCCACTGAAATGGCTTTAGATGTCCATAGATGGCCTCCCTTTGGTCAAATCCAGTGATCGCTTCTATGTCCTTCTCAGACTCAACCTCCTCCTTTCTTCTTAAAATGTGTATCCTCCAGCCTTCATGGTTACCATGCACTTCTGTCCACCTTCCTAACTCACTGAGTACTGATTCAGCATTTTGTGTCTGGCTTCTTCCCAACTCCACAGTGAAGGAGTGATCTCACTCCTCCAGTGTGGGCCTGCTGCCCTCTTCCACCTCAACGTTCCTCCAGTGTGTGCGCTTTTTCAGTCTCACATTGATTAAAATCACCTGTATGTTCATCATTTCCAATTTCACATCTGACCCACTCCACTAAGATGGTGGCTTACATATGAGATATCAACCAGCTGCTTCAGGACATCCATAGTTTATGGTGGCCATATGAATCCACACTTTTGCTTCCCCAAATTCCTCCATAGTGTTCCCCGTCTCAAGGAATGGCATGAGCATACACCTACTGGGAAAGCCTCCTTGATTTATCTGCACTGTGTTGACCCTGTCATCAAAATCCATCAAATGAATTATTTGTCATCCATTCACCAAATACCTGCTGTTGCCCATCCTTTCTCAGAGACTACCCACTGTGCTGCCTTTCCACTGCTTGTACTGTGTTTGTTCTTCCCATTTCTACTGTTTTTGCCCTTAGATCTTCTCTGTGTGTGTGTGTATGTGTGTGTATGTGTGCGCGCGCATGCGTGCTTTTAAGGACTGAAACCAGTGCTCCTGCAAAGGCACTGAGCGATAACCCAGCTCTTAAAAAGGCACTGAGCATATCCCCCGCACCTCTCCCCACTTTTTGAGACAGGGTCTCAGGGTCTCAGGCTGGTTTAAATTTTTCAATTTTCTGCCTCAGACTCCCAGATTCTGGGATTACAAGCATAAGCCACCATGCCTGACCACCATCCTTCAATGCTTAATCCATATAAAAGGCAGAATGATCTTTAAATATATAAATCAGATCCCTTTATTGCTCTGATTAAAACATACCAATGGATTCCATACCACTTGGAGTAATAGCCATTATCTGTTGTGGCCTACAAGGCTGTACACAAAGCCGTCTCAGCCTATGTTGCGGGTGTCTCACTTGACTTTCCTCTTTACTCATATTCCAGATATTACGGCATTTTTTCCCTGTTCCTGGAACACCCGCCTTGTTCCCTCCAGAGTTTCCACCTTCTTGCTGTTCCTTCTGCTTAGCACATCACTTCCGTACTCCCTTGATCCTTCATAGCATTAAGGACTCACATTAAATATTATCATTCGCAGGAATCTTTCCTGGCCTTCGTAAACTCTTAATGTGGCAGGTCACAGTCACATGCCCTTAGTCATCCCTTTTATGCTTATTATCAGCTTTATCCTCATCATAGGGATTATTTCTATCAGAAATAACTTTCTTTATTTAATTGTCTATTGTCTGTCTGTCCCTATCTATGGGAAGGAATCTTATTTCACTCAGCATTTAGAGAAGGATTTGCCTTCCAATATGCACTCACTAAATATGAAAGCATGAATTTATAATTCATATTTTTATCATTTTTAAAAAGCAAAACAGAAAAAAAGGATAGAAATAATACAGAATTTCAAAAAAATAAAAAGAGTAGGAAACAGATTTTGTAACCTGAACAATTGCTTCTAAGATAACAATATGCAATATATTAACCAGTGTTAATTACCTTTATCATTTTTTGCCTTATCTGTTAACTCCCTCTCTGGTTTCTCCAATACATTCTCAATGCCAAACTACATCTAGAGTGATATTTATAACACCAGCCTGTGTACCTGTGTACCAGTCTTAGTCACTTTTCTCTCAGCTGAATTACAATATTTAACACTCTCAACTTAAAGGAGGAGATTATTTTGGCTCATGATTTTTCAAGGATTCAGTCTGTCACTGGTTAGCTCTGAGGCAGGAAGGTATGGTGGAATGGTCTGGCAGCCAGGAAGCAGAGAAAGAAGGGAGGAGTTAGGCAGGAAAATGTATCCTTCCACATCATGCCCCTAAAGATCAGCCTCTAACCAGGTCCCACCTCCTAAGGGCACACTGCACTTAGAACTCTTCTGTGGACTGATCCACCAATGTGCATAGTGCCTCATGGTCTCATCACCTCCTGAAAGTTCCACTTCTAAGTGCATGAGAACTTGGGGGACTTTCCTAGTTCTAAACCATAACAGTTTTCCCTTACTTCCTTCTTCACATCTGTCCTCTGCTACAGCCACGTACAACCACTTTGTAGGAAGCACTATGCCTTGTGCTTCCTGTCTCCTTGCTGTGTGGCCCTCTTGCTTTCCATGTGTCAAACTCAACTCACTCTTCGAAATCACAGTCTTATACTTCTTCCTTACCCAATCAGCCTGCGCAGTGCCACCCTTATTGTTTTCTCAGACTGGAAATAATTTGTTTGTTTATAATTGATTATAGTAGACTTACTTTTTTCAGAATATTAAAGGAAAGATTTCTTTTTTTTATTTAAAAAGAAAAAAGAAAGGACATAAAAAAACAAAGCAGTAAAAGGGTACAAGTAATACAGAATTTCAAGAAAAAAATATACAGTAAGAAATCACTAGTTAATAGGTTACGTATTGTCTTCCTAGAAACAGTTGTCCAAATTATAAAATTAAAGCATATAAAGTGGACATTCATACAGTGAAACTGGAAACAGTTCTGTTCAGTGATCAACAAAAGCTCAGTAATATGGTTTTCCATCCTACACACTCAAACATACCTGTGGTTATATCCCTTAGTCCACCTTCCTTTCCTCTCTGTTTTACAATAACAATTACACTTTTTGGGTTTTATTACTCCCAAGGTTCTTATTACTTTTTTTTTTGAAGAGAATAAGGTGACTAAGCAAAACAGAGTCAGTTAGAACAGAAGGGTGGGCATAGTATATGATGCAAAAATAGAATACCAGATGATCAAAAGTGGTTACCATTGTGCCTCTTGCTATTTTTAAATTGAGTTGCCTATATCATCGGGTCTAATAGAATTGATCAAAACAGTACAGAACAAAACCAATAAAATCTACACTGGAGAACTTACAGGACTTCAAAAAAAGATAATAGTCAAACCATAATGGGCATCACAGTAAATCTTATTGCCTTCAAAGTGGTTGCCTATACCCTCAAACTTGATACTATCAAACCAAATAGAATAGAGTAAAATCAGTCAAAACAAGATGGGGAGAGCAATACTGCGGTTCAAATCAGGTTAATAGGAAAACAAAATGTTACTATAATATGTCCCGCTATTTTTAATTTAGTTTTCCCTTAATTAAAAAAAGAGAGAAAATAGATTAATTTTTAAAAAGGGGGAGATTGAGATAAAAGAGGACATTGTAACAGAATAACGCAGGTCAGAACCAAACAATTTAAGCATCATTGTGTTTCACCACCAGATAATCTAACATAATAGTAGTCACCATAGTGCCTCTTTCCTTGAATTATTTGAGTGTAACTTCAAATGTTATAGCATCAAGCAAATTTTTATAGGCAAAGAGATAATATAGAAACCGTTATTTGTTTTCTATAGTAGACTTATTAAAGATGATGGTTTTTATTCATTTTTAGGGAAACAACTGGCACTCAGTAAATATTTGTGATACAAAATTCATATAAATTAACGACATCTCAATAAAAGAAGAAAAGAGTTTCAGTTAAAATAATATCTAAGTCCTGTCATTAAAAACAATATTAAAATAATAGTGGCCATTTAACTAATTATGCTAACTATGTTATAAATTTTATATGCATTCTCTCTCTTAAAAGTGGTGACAGGGGCCTAGAAAGTTTAATAACTTACCTAATATCGCAAACCTGATGAGCCCAGTATTTGGAAATCAAGCACAATCTTTTGAGAGATTCAAGGCCTAGTACTACAGCTTCTCTCATAGTTACTTGTACAGAAGTACTGATCACCATGGAATAGAGGTCCTCAATGGGACCTGCTCCACTTAGAATAGCCATGATCTCCCTCCCGACAACCACCCAGGCTCCCCAGATACACAAGAAGGTGCAGAGATGCGAGCTGCTGTAATGTATGGGAGGAGGAGCCCCTCAGGCCCAGACACCTCAGTCTCAGCTCTCTCTTCTCACAGGCCTTGTCCTCCTACCTGGGCTGGGCTAAGTCTATTTTCTGTTTCTCTCAACTGAAAGAGTCACCATTAGCTTTGACAGTCAAGTTCCTTCAGGAACCAGTGTCTCCAGACCTGCAATCAATGAGAATGCCATCACCTACCTTGGGCATGCAGATTACCAAATGTCCTGTCGTCTGTGACCTTTTAGCAGAGCTGCTGTCAGGTTTAACTTCTGCAGGAAGGACGAGCTGAAAGGGCTGAAAATGAGTAGAAGTTATTGACAGCACTGGCATGTTACATGGCTGCATTACCTCCTGAGATCTTTTCATCACAAATTTAAGATGTACTGCTCAGTTAAGATATGTATTTAGATTTATTAGGGAAAATAATAAAGAAGATATAAGCTATCCTTAAAATGCATGAACGATTTGATCTATTTTAACAGAAAATCTAAAGAATAGTCACTAAACACAAATAGTGAGAGAGCAATGAGTCTGTTTATGGTTAAAAGGTAATTTATATATAAACTATAACATTTCCATCTTAATGTCTTTAAGCTAAAAACTACTATTTAAAAATGACATAATTCCAGTTGCCATGAATGAAGTCATTAACAATTTAGGCTGTGTGTATTATTTAACTTTATGTAAAGGATACCACGTATATGATAATTTTACAGCCTTTAAAAAGTATATCACAACAGACATCTGCCTAAGATATTAATTTTCTTAAGCAACATTATTATCAGCTGTTTCCCTCCCAGCCCGTATATCGATCCCACGGTATAAAACCATCTGCCTAAAAAGTAGCACTGTGACCGGGTTTTCTCTTTTCCTATTTTACTAACAGTTTCTAAAATGTTTAAGACAGCGCAGCTCAGTACAAGCTTTAGGGCTGTATTCTACAGGGTTGTACGCACCTTTCCTTTCACCATTACTCGTACATACATTGGCTGCACATCAACGTCAATTAAAGAGGTATCCATATACCTTCAAAATTAAACATACCAAAGCTTAAAGTTTTCAAAAAATAATTGGTTCAAAAATTTTCAGATACAAATTCGCATTTACAGAACCATTTAAAATGAAAGGCATTTTAAATTTTCATGCTAAGCAGGTTTTTTAGATTAGTCTTACAATAATCCCTAGTCCAGAGGAAATTCAACACATCAGCAATTACAGTTTTAGACCAACAAGTATACTTGGCATTGATTGCCCCTAACCCAAAAATATCTAAGGTCTGAAACACCAGAGGTATGCAAAAAACAGTTTGCTGTGTTCTTTCATGAATATTTTATTTTAAGCCCCTACGACGTGAATAGCCTGGAATGCTGAGTCTACTGCAATTGAAGCTTGTAGTCACCAGCTCCAGCCTCCTCGGATGCTCTAGGAGCCTGGCAGCTGTTTTGAAGCTGTGCTTGCACCATCTTTCATGGGAGAGGAGCTTCCTTCTCTCCCCCTTGAAGTCATATCGTACTGAGTAAGCAGTCTTCTTTTGATGTCAGTGACCCCAAGATCAGGTTCTCCTTGTCTTGTGAGTAAAGGAGAACCTTAGATTTAATATTACTCCTTAAAATAAGGAGTTTTTTTCTATCTTAAAATATTGACTCTGAGCATTAGATAATGCAGTCATGATTAAAAAAAATCACCAACATTAAGACAGTGAAGGGAAGGTTACAGGTTTAGGCTTTGGTGTCACAAAGACTTGTGAAGAATCCACCCCACTGCTTCCTCCTTAGAGCACATTTCCATCTCTTCACTTAGCCCTTCTGAGCCTCAGTTTCCTCATGAGTACAATGAGAATGTCAGTGTCTTACTGCCAAGGTCACTGTAAGATCACACGTCTGCTGCCTAGTACATAATGCTAAAAACTAGTGTTATGCTATTTCATAAACATTATAATAAAAATAAACACAAATTTTCTTGCCATGCAATGCATAGTTACTACTTTGATGATTACATATTCTTTCCCTTGCTTAGGTTCTCTTAATGTGTTTACCTGTTCTTCCCTGCAAGGATTCTCTTTGTCTGAAATGACCCTGCTAGTTTGGTTAGAGCAAGCTACTCCTCTTCCTTCTATCTGTATTGCTCATGTCATCAAATTTTCCTGACCGTCCCACAGCACCAATCACCAAACACTCACCTCTATATGCACAAACTATTATTCTGCATCCCTGACCCTGTCACTGCCCATTAGAGCACACTTTCCCCTTTTACTGACTCATTAGGTGCCTGGTTGTCTGCTGTCTTCATCCTTTTCCACCCCATGCCCTGCAGTGGGCCATAAGCTATAGGAGAACTATGATTGCATCTGGAATAGGCTCATTACAATCTCCTGTGAGCAGCACGTACTAAGTATTCTACACATATTTGCTGAATAAAGGCAGAAAGCATATAAGAATGAATGGCTTTAATTTCATAAACCATCTCATGAGTCAACAAGTATAATTCGTTAGACAGAAAGATGGGAATACAAGGGTTTGACTACAGACTGGAAAAATATAACCACTCTTTGAAATCCATATACATAGCCATGAGAAAAGCTTACTACTTGAATAGGAGGCAACCTGCAGACTTAAAGGGAAAGCTTTATATATTCACTAAACTCCAGAAATAAGGCTTAAACATGGAAAATGTTAGGCAGAAAATTAGACACTAGCAGGCTGGAGAAAGGATTTGAAAACCAAAGCAGACATGATGCTGCTTTTCTTTTTTTCCTTTGCTTTTTTAATCATTAGCTTTAGATAAAATCTATAGAAGCTTGTAGTTTCAAACTTTTGCTCAATAGAATGTTACATCGTCTGAATGCCAATGAGACCGAAGGGCTATAAAAAGAACAGACTATGGGTGAAAGATTGGAAAAAACCTTAAGTTCTCAAAAGAACTTAAATGGAAAATATCCACTTAGGCAGTAAACAGGGACCTAGTAGGTCAACACAGATTATTTTGCTTGTAAAAGGACAATGACCTCAGAGGAAAGACAATATTCCTTGAAAGACTCAGTTAATCTTACAAATGTAACCTGAGATCTTGATCAGTGCAACTGCCATCTGGGCACTTGCCAGCCTTCATGCTTGAAGGTGCAGGGTTCTCTTTCTCTGACAATCTATTATTTGGCAATAAACTCAACCCATGCTTTATAGGAAGGCCTTCATATCTGGTCTGAAACAGCTTGTAGAAGATACAAAGAACTGAGATGAGCAGCCAGTTCTTCATGGCATTAGGACTTTCCTGTGGAAGGACCCAGCTTCCTGCTAGGAGAAAGGACATAAAAGAATAAAATAAAGAGTATTTAACCGAAAACAACATAAATACTGATTGTTGATCTACAGAACAAGAGGTCATTAAGTCAGAAGGGAGAGCTGGAAACTCATTAAAAGCAGTTACAGGAAGCAAATGAAGACAAGGGGTGGGAGATAGCTTGATGTGAAGAGGAAGAGACCAGGCTGAGACCAATCCATCTCTATCAGCCAACAGTGCAAAAAAAATGTCCATCAGTTGGGAAAAAATAATGATGTGAGCTATATTCATACAGTGGAATATCAGGAAAACATAAAACAGAAGGACACTGTGGCACATCCTATAGCTATGCCTTCAAGAGATAAAGTGAGTGACCTAGATGTCTTCAGATAACACCCAGGTGGAAGGTTATACAAGCTGAGGAGTGTATGTAAAGGCCATGGAATTTCAGGAGAAGACAGAAGCAACAGTCTGATGTAGGAGTGAGGGACAAGCAGGACATCTTGCCACTCCTATCCACTTAGCATAGTCTGTGGGAAGGAGCCAGTTATGAGGTAGGAAGGTGCAGGGGCACCTACCTGATTGGTGCACCCCCAGCCTCTAGGATGGGATAACAGAGAGAGTCTTCTTATTATGTCAAAGCATTTTGGAAAAATAAATAAGACTACAAAAGTAATATGGCAGTCACAAGAACAGAGTCGGTCACTGCCAAACCAACATCAGAAGTCAGGAAAGCGCTGAGAAATTATTTAAACTGTTTTCCATATTCTAGTGGGCAAAGCCATGGCATTGTGAGCTCATTAACTTCTCCTTTAATTTTCACACTTTTAAAAATCACAGTGGGTTTTGTTTCAAAAGAAAAGAGATTTCATTTAACCACATGGCAAGCCAAATTTCATTCCAAGTATTTCAGCACACAAAAGATTTTTACCAAGAATAAAAACTGATGGAAAGCTATCAAATAATGTATAATAAATGCCTTTACCTATAGACAGCCAGGTCCAGGATGATCTGATTATGTTTTTCATCATCTTTCAAAAAGAAATCAAGCCTAAAAATAATACATTGGAGAAGAAAAAGATATTTTTAAGATACTACACGTACAATCTCATCACATAATCAAGAATAAATTTGATAATAATTATTTCCAATGACAAACTTATTTTGAGAGTGGCACAATAAAATAACATGTTAATTTTAAAACTGCAATAAAAAGCTATCAATAAATAAGATATCAATAAATTACATGCTTGTATTGTTTACATAAGAGAATTTTAAGGTCAAGTCCATAAAAACAATTGGTTTTGGTGCAGAGATGGAGACATCTGGTGGCTAAAGTTTTCCTTTCCATTTCATTTGCATTTGCCAAAAAGCAAATGAATCACTGGAATTAATGGATATTTAAATAGATTTTCAGCTCCCTTAGCCAATACTTCTATTCTTAAAAATGTTCAACAGTGTCGTCTTTTTCTTGGCCACCTTTTTCCTTCTCCTTTCATTGCTAACATTGCCATTGTTCTGGGGAAGGCTCAGGCTGACAGTGCTTTATATCTCCACTTTATAGATGAAGAAACAGAAGCTCACAGAGGTGGGCCCAGCCAGAGAAGCAGCCAGGGAATCCTGGAGAGACAGGGTGTAAAGTTCTGAGGCTTTCAACTGTATCATGAAGCCAAATCCTAAGCATGGTTTCCATGCCGTTGCTATACTATTCAGAACTATTTGGTCCATTTCCTTCTGACTACCTCACTTACTGTGTGATTTATTAAATATTAAAGAATATAAGCTAAATTGGAAGATGCAAAGTTGGCAGCAGACGTGGCTCCTGGCAATGGGTCTGCTATGGCAGGCACGTCTCATTGCACCCAAAGATCCAGCATTGTAGGGCTTCTTTGTGGTCTCAAATGACCCTTGCATTCTGGAACCATCTCCAGAGCTTTTTTCTGTGCTAATCTCCCCTGTTTTGATTGCTTATTCCCCAATACAGCCAAATTGAACTCTCCCTTCATGTATCACTGAAAGTTAGTTTCAGAGAGGTTTTCTCTAGCACTGATGCTATTCACTTCCATGTTCTGCTCATTCTTTATCCTTGGTAATAGGCCTCCTGATTTCAATTACCCACAAAACTATATAGCACAAAGACTATATTTTCTAGCCTCCTTTGCGCTTTGGTGAAGTCCTGTGATTTTCTTTTGCAAGGGGAAATATTGTATAGTGCTTTCCGAGAATTTTTCTTAAGAAAAAGAACTTGTCTTCCTTCTGTATTCAGCAAAGAAAAGTTTGTGGAAGCTAATGGATGAACCAAGGAGACTACTTAACAAGATGTTGCAATTGTCTTGGCAAGAGGAAGAAATAAGGTTATGATGATGGAGTTACTGGGAAGTGGTTGGAGTCCAGTTGGATAGAAGGAAGAGCTCATGGGCTCACCAGCAAAATGAGATAGAGAAGAAGCAAGGATGAACCCAAGGGTTTTGGTCTCAGCAAATGAGAGGATTCTTGTTACTGTGGTGGAGAACAGTGGGAGACAAGCACATCATGGTGGAGAGCGGGGGCTGGATAGAAATCAGGAGTTCTGCTTTAGCCATATATTTATGATTACTGTTTTATATCAACACAGTGAAGTCACATAGCCAATAGAATGTTTTAGTCCTGAGTTCAGGGAAGAGATCAGATTTGGTTATGAGCAATATAAAGACAGGGTTCAAAGCTGTGGAGTTCAATGAGATTCTCTAAGAGTGAGGAGTTTTCTCCAGAGCACATAGGAAACAAAACAGAAAGGATCCAGTTAACCACAACAGAAGGAATAGGAAGGAAAAGAAAAATCAGAAGCAAAGGCAAGACAGTGCTTTTAAAAGAAACATCATGCTCAATTAGACCAGATTCACTAGATCGAGCAAGATAGTGCTGAGCTATGAACACTGATATACCAATAATATGACCAATGGTATTTCTTGGTAATAGCAAACCCAGAATGATTTCAAGAAAAAATGGCAAGTAAGAAATTGGAGACTGCATATGGACAACATTAAGAGGGGCATAAAAAACAGACTGTTATCTGGCCAGGACACTGGGGAAAGGGAGACCTCAGCTTTGTCCTGTTTTAAGGCACACAGAAATTATTACAATTGGTGTGCATGCTAGCGTTACTAGGCCAGTAGAGTGGAGAGAACTGATGCAGGAGAGCTGGCATCATTGATAGATAATCTTGCAGGAAGTAGGCAGGGATATGAGAACCATCAGAGACTCAATCATATCAGCAGGCTTGTCCTTGGAGCAGGAGAAGAGAGAGTGTGACACAGGTACGGACCTGCTGGTAAACTAGTGTTGGGAGGAAACAACCACCGCTTCTGGTTTCTCAACAAAATAAGAAGTAAAGCCTATGGTTAAGCTGTGGAATATAAGGTGGTGCCAGAGGTAAGTGGAAAGGAAAGGAGCGGGGAGCAGCCTGCAGGAGGCTAGAGGATGCACTGCCCAAGACAGTGCAGAAAGCACTCCAGCAGAGTCCACTCAAGACTGTGGCCATGTGAAAGTAAGACCAGCAGGCGGAGGCAAAGGGTTCCCCCAGCCACCGGGAGTGGGCAGGGTGCTGGATTTAAGTAGTGTTGGAATTTGTGAGGTGAGGACAACAGAGGGAGGGAAAGACAGGGGAGTTGATGTGCCCTGGATTGATTTCTGTGAGGAACCCTAGTACCAAGGCAGGGTGAGAGATGGTGAGGACTGAAGGGCTGGGGAAAGTACAAAGGAAAAGGGCTGGGAAAGGGTGACTTGACTCATGCGTAAATGGGGCCAGTGGGCTCCCAAAAATGTAGGTGATGGTGCTCAATGAGGTGAAGAAGACTGAGGTGGAAGAAACAATGATGGTAGAAATCTAAGAATGAATCAGAGGTGGGAAATAGGTGGGTGGGGGTGAGGTGGGGGAAGACCCGAGCACTCAGGGCTTCTGATGATATGTGGTGAAGCTGCCATGGCTGGCAGAGAAGAGGCTGAGATGGGTCTGGGTGCTAGCGTGATGGGAGAGGGTAGAGGTTTGAGATTTCCTATATTAATCTGACAAGGGCAGTAACAAGGGGAAGGGCCAGTGTATTAGAATGGCCTGTGCGTCACAGAACCAGGCAAGTTTAAAGCAAGAGGAAAAGGATCTGAAAGCAGCCATGGGTGAACCTCCCTGTGGTTCACATTGGGGTACATGAATGGCAATGGAAGCAAAGTCTCAGCTTCTGTTAGTGGAAGGAGAAGATGGCACATGGAGCAAGAAGGCTGGGGACACAGGCTTTGCTGGTGAAGCATAACCTCCGGAGGGCACAGGAGAAGGTGAGGGTCAAGGAAAGGAGACAAAATGAGTGGGGTTCGGCCTATGTGGGAATAAGATTTAGGAGGAAGGGGCTGGAGATTTAGCTCAGCGGTATAAGAACCTGCCTTGCAAGCAGGCGGTCGCGAGTTCGATCCCTGGTACCAATAAAAAAAAAAAAATTGGGGAGGAAGTAGATGAACTAGGTGGGTGACTGGGCATGGAGGGAGTGGGCAGTAGTAGGGGGAGGTGGTGAGTAATTCATTTTTCATAGCATCTCCCTAAGTAAATCGATTTTAGAGGCAGAGAGTGTGGTCAATGTGATGGGAAATAAAATGGTCTTACTAAGGGTACCTGGAGCTCTGGGGTCTCCCTTGTGCCCTGTCTAGGCTGGATCTTTAAGCTACATGAAGATAGCTCCTACTGCACTTGCTGCCAAGTCCCTGGGCCCAGCCTAGAACCTGCTGCTGTGTCCTGTTTGCTGACTAGAGAAGGTATGTGGCAGGCGGAGAGGGAGGCTGGAGATGCGATCTGGAAGTCACTAGAACTGGGCGAGCAAGGGCCAGACAGACACCCCACCAAACAGTCACAGGACCTTGCGCAAGTCACTTCTGCTCTCAGATTCAGGTTTTAGAGCTATGGAAGAGAAATCTTGCCTACTTCCCGTGATGGCTGGGAATATGAATGATTCTAGACAGTGCCCTTATCATTATCACAGTAATAGCACAGCAAATGAAATGATGAAAGTGAACAAATGAGATTTAACCCACAGACTTGTTTGTCTCTGTTTAGGACACACAAGGCCTTTCGGCTACTTTCTAGTTTTCAACTTTAAGACAAATAGATAGGGCAGATCAGACATTGTTAAGCTTGAGGACTTCCAGTTTGAATATTTTTCCTTTCTCATTAACTTCATTGAGGTATTTACATCAATTTCTTCCCCTAGCTTTTGAATGCTTAGAAAATGAGGTCCAGAATATAATGTAGATGCAAGAAGATCCATCAGTATTCTTAGCCAGCTTGTTCATGGCAGAGTTTTAAAAATTCATAAACCAACAATGATGCAGTGGTAATTTCCAGGCACAAAATTGTATATGGTCCAAACTTTCATTGAATACATAAATAACTATGATTCCGTATGTCGGGACCATTTTCTAGATGCCAAGGAAATTATGCAGTTGAAAATGTAATAGATGTTTGGCTTTTAAATGTGTGCCAAAATGACACTATTATTAGACTCATCAAGCTTATTAGGAACCATCACTACAGTCTTCGCAGAGCAGGTGAGTCAGCCATGCAGGAGGGCTGCTCCTTCTGGTCTCCCCGGCCTCACCTACTTGGGCTCATTGACATTCAGGGCCTTTCCGGAGTCAGTGACCAACGTCCGCAGTGGCTTCACTTCTTTCTTCTTTTTGCTGAACATTGGGGGGCAGTGGGAACAAGAGGCAAAGGGGGAGGAGAAAATAAAAAGAATACGAAAGTAATTAATACGTCTTTTGTGAAAGTTTCAGAAGAATCAAACGTTTTTGAATATATAAACAATTCCCTTATTAAGTCAATTACTTTAATGTTGTACTGGGGATTAATCAAGCCAGATTTTAAATGGATGTATCCATATCTGTAAAAAAAAAAAAAAAAAAAAAATTGGATGGGGGAAGAAAATTTCTTTTCATGAAATAACTGTGAATACCCATGAATATTTAAATGAGTCTGTTTTATGCATGATTTACCCAGATAACTGTCAATTGTGCACAGTTTCTGCTTTAGTTAAAATTATAATTTTTAAAATATAATTAAAGTGTATTCTATAGAAATAAAAATACCAGTACATAAAGATCTATGTAAAAACATATTTCTCACAAATTCATTTGTAGTGGCAAAACCAAAAATTGTAAATGTCTGTTCAGGATGGGTGACTGGATCTGCTATAGCACATTAATACTATAAAATATCTTAATAACTATTTAAATTTTTTTTCGCTCTTTACCTACTGATCTAAAAATAACATGTTTTAGTGAAAACAAATACAGTATATAAAATATAAGTCTACTTCTTTGTGGTGCTTCCGTGAAGTACAGGACCCCAACCATGCCAGGCAAGCCTTCTACAACTAAGCTACCAGTCCAGCTCAATTTTTAAAAATTTAAATCCCAATTTTACTCTGCAAAAATGATTTACATGATTATAGGCAAACCAATGTACAATAGTATCAGCCAACCTACTAAAGCCCATGTCACTAAAGGAAAAGAAAATAAAAAAAGATTATTATGAAATAATGTAAAATAAAAATTTAGTCAATTTCTATTTAAAATATCTGGAAGAAATATTTTTAAAACCTTGAATAGGTATATATGGACAAGATCTAAAAGATAAGACAGACAAATTTGTTCAGTTGATAGAATTGTAGGCTATGTTTGCTTTGAATTTCTACTGTCCCTTTAAAAGGTATTTTGTGTCAGTTAACTTTATTTTTAAAAATTATATTCTGCATCTTAAACTGGAATTCTGATTCCATTTAGGCTGCTATTTCAATACTGAGGATAACTGAATGGTATTCAGAAATACCCGACTTCACCCTAGATCTGGTGGGCAAGGACCAGGTTAGGAAGAAAGGTTTTCTCTTGTCTCTGGATTCTCCCAGCTAGTGACAATGACCAGTCACAGGCAAACACCTCTGGAACTCAGTGGGCTGGGCAGGCTCCAGCACAATACACAGGACAGCTCAGACCTCCAATGAACTCAGCCTTACTCTTTTACATGCCAGGGATCAAAAACACAACAAAAGAAAACAACATTCCCCTGGTTTCAGGCTCAGCATACCTCACACATATACCTATATAAATACAACCTGCGTGTGTGTGTGTGTGTGTGTGTGTGTGTGTGTGTGTGTGTGTGTGTCTGTGTGTGTGTGCTAGAAATATGGTATATATTCTATAAACATGTGGAATTTTCATTCCAAGGGCTCTTGAATCTGCATAATACATTCACATTTAATGGCTCATCTAATTATCTTTTCTTTGTTTCTGTGTGTGTGTGTGTGTGTGTGTGTGTGTGTGTGTGTGTCTTTTTGAGACAGAGTCTCACTGTGTCGTTCAAGCTGGCCTTGGGACTCACTTTGTAGCCTAGGCTGGTCTCGAACTTGCAACAATCCTCCTGCCTCAGCCTCCCAAGTACTGGGATTATAAGAGTGTGCCACCATGCCCGGCTTCATCTAATTTTCTTAACAAAATAGTAGAGTGAAAAAATAGATATATAGGTCTTATTTAATGTGAGGAAATAGACGCGGAAATAGAATTTGTGAACTTGCAAATATCACTTAGCAAGTGACAGGTCAAAGCACACACTGTCTCATGTTAGGCCAGTGCTCCTCCAAAAGCAACAGAGATCATTCCATGGGTAACTACCCCATCTACCAACAAGTCTCAGGTAACATTTCACTTAGTTGTTGTATCTCCTTATATTTCTAATAAACTAAAAATATTTGATGAGATCAGCAGAGACTTCAATAGTCTTTCTACTGATAATCATAGGAAGATATACTGTGTAGTGTTCATCTCACTGTCACGCAGATTGCTGTATTTCACAGCTAATTCATTATGTTTCACGAGACAGTAAATTACAGCCATTCCTGTAAGTGATGCGTTGTGCTAGGCTTAGGCAATGGCATGAAGTGGAATGACACAGAGTCTGTCTTTGAAAAGTACATGAAAAGAGTGGCTTCCAACAAATCATCAGGTTACATGTAAACACTTCAAAAAGTGAAATCACATTCTTAACTGTCCAAGAGAGTTATATTGTGAGCATAAAATGTCAAATGAAATTAATTCTCTTTCTCCATTTCAGAAATTTCTAGAAATAATTTGAAGGAGTTCATTCAATCCACAATGACCTTTTTACTTGTACTCTGCCAACTAGTATTTCTAACCCAGGCCATGCTATTCCTAGATATTCACGCAATGGTTAAAATGTCAAAGACATACAAACAAAATTTCACCTCAAATGCCATGATTCATTTTCTTATAAAGAAGCATAATGAATGTAAGCCAATACAATTCAATAAAAAGCTTTATTTAATAAAAGTAAAGTTATATTTTACTTTCATAAAAAGTAAAGCTAAGAAAAGCTTAACACAAATGATGAGAAAAATAATCTACAATCATGAAAATGCAGTCCTTCAGAGTACTGTCCCATTCTTGATGATGGGAATATATATGATACCTTAATTTTTCTTGTTCTTTCCGTTGCTTTTCCACATGTCTGAGAGTTTCCAGTCTAGATTCCGGAGTATACAGAGAGGGTTTGTTCCAGAATTCCAGGTCATCTTCACTTCCATTCAATTTCTTTGTGCTGCGTGCATCTTCTTGTATTTCTGGTAGCTGGACTTGTTCTTTGTTCTCTGACGAAGATGGGCTAAGGAAAGCAAGCAGACACAGAGCATGGAAGATCAAGAGTTCCCTTAAATGTCTCATGCAGTTTCCTTAGGTTCACTTCCTACCTTTGAATGAAAAAATGCTTCCTGGTGTCTCTCTAGCTAAGTTGTTCTGGTTTCCAGCTCAGCATAATATACATTACCTACCCTCATGTATATGCAGATAAAACATACTGTGTATACATGTACATGTGCATGCTAGGAATACAGTACACATCAAGAGACCCAAGTTGGAGGAAATCACTGTCACATGACTGAAACAGGCTTGCATCCTCTGTCAGCGCAGTATCAGATTCATAGGCTCATAGGCCTGGCTGATCTGCATTACCTGGGGAGCCATACAAAAGGTAACATTTCCTGGCCTCCCATCAAAAGCTCATCAGTTGATCTGGGTGAAGCCCTGGAATGCCTGGGACATTAGTTCGCAAGAGGTTCTGATGATCAAGCAAGCAATGAGACCAGGGAACTTCAATAATCCATTTCCAGGTCTACCTCAGTGCTACCCACTACTGTTGACTCTAGTGTGTGCACTGGGTCACACTCGTTCCAGGTCCTTTACTGACTCTTTCCCTCCAAAACTTCCTGGTGGGACACAGGAGACCTTCCACAGTATGGCCTATGCATATTTATTTTTTGTAGTTAACTACTGATTATGTAGCTTTAATATTGTAATAGTTTTTTGTTCTCTTTTATCCTTGTTTTGGACTGTCAGAGAATTAAATGATGTGTTTACAGATCCCTGCATGGATATTGTATGAAATAGTCCACATTCATTCAATACAAGTTTAAGAAATATTTTCTGAATGGCAGGCATTGGAAACAGAATCCTGGTCAAGGAAGATCATGACACCACTTTCAGAAGATGATTCTATTCCAGCAGGAGAAAATGACGTTATTAAAACAGTAAACGTTGGGTACGGTTGCCGCCCTCCCCCATCTCTCTTTAGAATATGCACTTTGTTAGAAAATGGATTAAATGAAACAGGTACATGAAGCCTTTAGTACCAAGTCTGTCAAGTAGTAAGTACTCAGTACATGTCAAGTTTGGTCGTTGTTGTTACTGACACGAGGTAACACAGAAGGCTTATTTAGTTCATCTTCATACAAGATGCTTTTCAAAGAATGCATCCATTCTTTGTAATAAAAGTAATAAAACATGACATTTAACTAGTGTAAATGACCTGGAATAAAATCCTGCTTAGCTTCTCTATATATTAATGGACCTAGGTATTTTAATAAATAAAAGATGCAAATTATTGAAAGTAAATGCTCTGCCATACAGCTCTCCTTCTTTAAGGTATTGAAAAAACAATGTATAAAGGAGACCTATACCATTCTACAATATTCTAGCTAATTGCAACTAGAATAATTGATTCCATTTTCATTAAGTGACTTCTTCCTGTAGAGTAATTAACTGGCTTACTTTTACCTTTTGCAACTTAACATAATAAAATAAAATAACTCTAAGAAACACTACCAGGAATATAAACTAAGCAACATAAGTCTGCAAAAGGAAAATGGGCACAAATATAGGTAGCTAGTTGATAAAATAAGGTCCATTAACACTTGAACAACAAAATCTCCTTTTCATTACTGCCTTTACCACTGCTCTCAGAACCCTCTTCCCACACAGGAACGGATCGCAGAGTTCTAGAACACTTTCAAGAACATGCTCATCTCAAGTAAAATCACTTCCAGGCATTAAAAGTCAGTAGTTTAACAAGGCTTCAGACATACACCTAAATCCTACTTTCTTCTTTCTCTAAGCTTCTCTCTCCCTTCATCTGAGCTGTGGACAGGCGAGGCACAACAGCTATTCCTATCCCGCTTGGTTTATTTGAATACACTGCCCTGTGATCTATCTCACTGGGACTTTTGGGGCCCCCTGCCTTCAGTTCGGGGCCAGAGGGCAGTATGGGAAGAGGTGAGTGTTGCTGATATGACCACTGTTGTTAGAAACTCAGTGTTGCTGCCTTGTCTGGGCCGACACTCAGACACCCGTTTTTCCTCTCGTGGGCCCTCCTTCAGTTCCCGGAGATACTGTGAGCATCCTCTAGGGACATCATTCTCTGTCAGGATGGTCAGTATGCTCCCCTGCTAGTCCTGCCATGACAGCTCTTCAGCTTCTCCCACTGATAATCCAACCCACACTCGCTTACTGCCTTTACCCTCTTGGGCAGATCAAGCCAGGCTTCTTCTGCCACATGTTCTTGGCCTTGGAAATGCTTGCATTGTGAGCTTTTCCATTAATCTGTGTCTTTCCTGATCCTCTCTTCCAGATGCTCCAGCTCATTTCCCATGCTGCCATTCTCCTGGCTGGAACCAGGTTCTATCTACTCCCCACGTAAAATGTTCATCTCTCCCTCTTTAGTCTCCAAATCTCTGTGTTTCTTCTTTTTGCCTTGGAAAGTCTCTTACTATTTCCCAGCTAAGTCAATGTCTCCCTCACATAGTGACTTCTCTAGACTGCCTGGATCTCTGTTCTCACAGGCTGGATGGGGTGACAGCAGCAAGTGCTGCAGGACCAGCCAGTCCTGTGGGAAAGCAAGTGAGCATCTTCAAGAAATGCAGCTATGTGCCTCTACCAAAATACAAAGAGCAGGAGACTTTCAGTGTAGGCTTTTAAAAGACAAAAATAGCACATGACTCCCCAATAAGTTTCCAGGATCACTATCAATCTGCTGTAAAACACTACCAAAAAATAATGAGTAAGGAAAACATACTATAGCATAAACTCACTTATAAACATAGGTTCAAATATTATAAATAAGTTCCTAACAAAAAGAACTCAGAAATGAGTTAACGAATATATCATAGACAAGGTGGGTTTACTGTAGAAATTCAAGGATAATTTAACATTAGAAAATCTATTAGTGTTATTCAACACATCAATAGCAAAGCATTTAATAAAAATCCAAAAGCATGATGATTAAAATTCTTCATCAAAGGAGAATAGAAGGAAATTTACTTAACTTTACCAATCTCTATAGTAGACTTTATATTTAATGATGAGGAATTGAAAACCTTGCTTATATCAGGAGCAGGATAGAGACATCCATTCTTATGCTTGCTGTTCTCTTTCCTATTGGAGAACTTTGTGGGTAATGTGATGAAAATGAAGTTTACTTTGAGAGATTTTCATTAATCATCAGCTTGCTATTTATAAACAATGTATTTTTTACATAGAAAGCAGAGTATAATCTACAGGCTAACTATTGTATCTTTTAAGAAGGTCAGTAAGATTGCTTAATCTTTATCAGTATCTGGAAATCATCTCTCTCCTTAAACAGCAGCAAGAACCAATTATAAGGTTATTTTTAAAATCCAATTCTACAAGAATCTTAGGAACAAATTTAATAAAAGATGGTGTAAGACCTTTATAAGGAAAAAAAAATTTTATGGAAGAATTCAGCAGATCTAAGTAAACAAAGAACTATTCCAAAGTTCAGCAAGAAGGCCGTCAAGAAGATATCGATTTTCTCCTAATTAACATATAAATTAAACAATATAAATCAAAGTTCTACTAGAGATTTTTAGGGAATTTGATTAGTGGATTCTAAAATGCATACAAGAGAGTAAAGAAACCAAGAAATTTTTGAAAAATTAGAAGATATTTTACTGCATAGTTAGATTTACTATGAATCTAGAGAAATTAAAACCAAGCAGAGGGACTTCTAAGGAGCAGCTGAGTGAACCAAAAAATGGACCTATAAATACATGGTCAAAAGGTTCGTGGCAAGGGTGGCATTTTAGATCAACAAGGAAAGAACAGAAACTTAATAAAAGATATAGACAATTAGCTACACACTTGAAAGCCAATAGGACAGCACCTGTATCACCAACAAAGATTAATTCCACATAGATAGATATGGCAGTGGGATAATGATGAACTGCATACACAAAACTAAAAAGTTTAATCATTTTTGCTTTTTCCAAAATAGAACTACTTAGAATTAAAGGCAAGTGACGGAGAGAAGATAAAAAGACAAGATATTTACAGTCATGTAACCACAAAAGAATTTGTAAGCAGAACACATAAAAAACACAAATAAATAAGAAAAAGACCCTACAACTTAATGAAAATAATCAGAGAGCATGAATAGGGCAAGTGTGAAGAGCCAATAAACATATAAGAATATATTTAAGATATTCAAACTCTTTATCTACCTACATAAATGCAAATTGAATAAAAATAGGTACCATTTAACAACAAACTTTGTAAGTTAATGTCTTTTAAAAATCATGTTTTGGAGCTTTGTCTGTATTCCTGATATGTGAGTATAAATTTAGAACACTCTTTGGCAATACATATGAAGTTAAAAAGATGTCATAACTGATGCCACAGCAATGTGGCTGTGACAGGAACATTCTAGGCAGAAACACCCACATGTGCACAGAAGAGCTGTGTGTGACAGTGCCCGAGGAAGTGGAATAGGACAGAAAACATACACAGCCACCCTAGGACTCACGGCTGCTCCACACAGGTGGCTACAGCTGGGACAGGTTCTGAGTAGGCAGGGTTGATGAATCCTGTCTGGTAAATGTTTTGAATATCATCCCTGAAATAATTACAATTTATTCACTCAATGGAATGTGTATTCCATAGTTAAAATGAATTAGTTTTATACATAACCATATACAGAAAAACTCAAAAATGGTGAATGAAAAACAAAGCTGTCAGTAGATGACATCCACACTAACTGTATGCACATACAAAAATCATACTACGTTGTGTAAGGAGTGGTAACTGCACATATTAAAATATGGATAGCATGAACGTGCCAGGCTTCACAGTGTCAGAAACCACTAAGGACAAAGGAAGGAAGAGCATAGAAGAGAACTAACTACTCGATGAGCTTCTATTCCTTAATTATATTTTATTTCTTATACTATAAGGAGCCAAAGCAAACATAAAAACAGTCATTATATCTATCTATCTATCTATCTCTCTATCTATCTATCTATCTATCTATATATATATATATATATATATGGGTGGTGAGAGAATAGGTGCCACTTAATTATCATTTAAACATGGATGTATGTCTGGATTATTTTATAATTATTGTTTTCTTGATTTTAAGTGATTGTATAATGTAAATATATAAGGATTTCATTGTATGGAATCAAATAAACCAAGTATAGCCTAAAGCTATTAAAAAATTGAGATTCATAAAAAGAATGAATTAGAGAATTACTAATCATATTAAAGAGATATTCAGTGTATAATTCACAAAACAGAATGTTTTATGATGCAATCAGCATTATTCAGTTTACAATCATATGAAGCGCATTTAACTTTTCTAAAATGCCTACTTTATAAATCAAAGTACACCTGTATATTTTTTACAGAAATTCCTCTGGAGATAATTTTAGATGCAAATTAAAATTATTAGTTTGGAGATTGTTAGATATTTTTCTTTAAAGAGAGATTTGTCACAACCATGGAATGGTCATAGTATTCCCCCCAAATTTGCTTCATACTTTATTTTTCAAATGAATCTTCTAGAATGTAAGTGATATTGTGAATATCTTGGGAAGAAAGCATACATTGCCGTTTCAATAAGAAAACATTCAGCTAGAAAACCAGCACTACTGATTTACATACAGTGTCACAGGGATGTCTGTGGACGGAAGCCCATCAGTGCCTGGGTTGGTCTTCTTGTCTTCCTGTTCACATCCTTCCGCAAGCTTCCCCAGAGCCTCTTCTTTCTCTTTGGCTCTTCTGAGCTGGTAAGCTTTTTCCTGTTCTCTGATTTGCTCTTCAACTACTGGATAGTTCTGCAGTGCCTGAATCCTTTCTGAACGACCTATTTCTTTACCATCTAGCCACTTAAATAAACAGTAACAAACAGCACAATTACTGAAAAGCAGCTGTGCAAATGAGTCAGCCCCCAATTCTCTTTGATAGCACTATTTTAAACTAAGAAATAACAACAATGTACCATAGTTATGGAGAATCGAAACAAAATAATTAATGGAAAATATCAGACTCATTGGTCTAAATCAATATTCATTTCATATAGTTAACACATGAGTAGATTAGAAAGCACCTGTACTAGTACTAATAAACAAGATTTATATCAAGCTGACAATTAATGAAAAACTCTCAAAATATTTTAATTTTATAACTGCTCACCATGCTAAGAAGTCCAATGCTTAAATCAAATCTAGCTGTAAAGGACAATAACAACAATCATAGTGTTCTCTACTAAGAAAGGCCTTGAATCTCACACTAAGTGAGCTCAAATACAACAAGCCCATGTCCCTTCCTTGAGAACAGATGCACAGAGTGTACTAGAATCATTATAGTCAACACTTATATCTGCTGTTTTTATAATACTGCAGTTTTCTAATTAAAATATTAAAATTCAAATACCAGCTACAATCTGAAATAACAAAGTTACCAGTTTCAAGCTAACTGCTGTTTAACTGGTCTCTCTCTACAAAATACAAAGATATTTGGAAATGTGCTAGGAAGATGATGGTCTCTCAATAATGTCTATTTTCTAACCTCCACAAATGTTATCTCACATGCCAAAGACAACTTTACAGATGTAAGTTAAATATCATGGGTAATCAGGGTGACGCTTATAAGGATCATAACCTCCCTTGCAAGAAAATGAAGAAGGCTTAAGTATTGGTATCAAAGTTTGGGCAAGATGTGATAATGATCCACTGCTGGCTTTCAAAATGGAGAAAGAGGCCAAATGTCCAGAAATACAGGCAGGTGAAGGATTTCTCCCCTAGAACCTTCAAACAAAACACCTTCTGATCTCTAGAACTAAAAAATAAATTTGTTTTGTTTTAAGCCACTAACTTTGTGTTGATTTGTTATACCAGCAACAGAAAAGTAACATGAAAGGGAAAATACATTAAAATGTAAACTAAAAACTATTTGGATAAATTAAATTATATATCAAAAATGTATTGTGGAGATTTAAAAAAATAATTTCAAATATGTTTTGAGAAGAATTCATGTGGCTGCTATAGAGGGCTTGAGATTTGGTTCGGCCCCCAGAAGCCAAAGCATAATGGAAAAAGCATGATCAGTTATACAATTTGCAGTCTTTAGTGAAAACGTATGGTTGTTTCTGGATGTCTTCTAATATAGTATTTAACTCTACAACATACTTGTATAATTTTATAATGGAAATCCTGGGAAGATGCCTTGTATTCTTCCAGTAGGAGTAACAGACTGTAAAAGGTTGTTTCTTTCAGTATCTTCAATGAAAGATAGGGCCATAATGATAAAATCTACTTTGTAAGGTAGTAACTAATCATACTGTACATACCTAAATTAATCTATTTCAGAATTATTATAATTTAATCAAGTTGGAAAATTCTGAATATACAAATTTATTATATAAATATCTCATAAGAAATATAAACATAAACAATATATTTGCATAACTAATACTACATAAAATAACACATAAAAGTAATTGATACTACATAACTTATGTAAATAATATTACATAAAAATAACACATGAAAGTGAATATATATCATACAAAGATACATAATAAATAGGAAAACTTTGGATAAATCCAATTTCTTTCAACCAGGCTTTTGTGGAACACTAAAGTTATGGTTTGGATATGGGACGTTCCCCCAAAAGCCTCATATGTTTGGAAGGTAATTGGGTTACAGGGATGCTGTATTCCTCAGTGGTTATCCACCGAGAATCCATAGTTTAATGCACTGTTAGGCAGTAGAATCTGGTCCTAAGAACCAAGTCGCTATGGCTGTAACCTAAAGGGTATATTTCTTCCCTTGCTCTTCCTATTTGCTTCCTGTCAACCATGATGTGAGGATCTTTCCTCCACCCCTATGCCATTTCTATGTGTGAGCCTGCCAACCACAGAATGAAACTTCTAAAAATGTGAACCATAATAAGCCTAGCCTCATGTAAACTGCAGGTATCAAATATTTTGTCCCCGTCATGAGAAAGTGACTAACACAGATTTTAGTACCAAGAATGGAATCATTCCCAGGTGTCTTGGTTACTTTCTTCTCATTGCTGGGCCAAAATAACGGACACCCAATATGAAGCAAGGAAAGATTTATTTAGCTCACTGTGGAGGTTTCAGTCCATACTCAGCTGGCTCCAAGGCAGGGTGGCACACAGCACCAGGGTAACACTTCAAGGCAGTGGCCAACAAAAACTGCCAAAGCAAAAAGGGGAGAACAAGCCTTCTTTCCTCCCTTATACTGTACACAGACCACCACCCCTCCTCAAGGGCAGGTGTAGTACTCACAAAATCTCCTTGCCCTCTTCTTGCACAGGATGAGGATGTTTACAAAGTAAGGAGCCTGGTTCCCTGCTGAGTCTCTTAGTTAAACTTCTCAACATGACCGAATGTGTCAACCATAGCACCATGGCTATCACTGAACATATGGCTAAAAAATCTTTGAAACTGTTTCTCAGGAGGATTTTGGAAAGGTTTGGAGATGCCAGCTAGAGAAGCTCTAGGATGCTGTAAACACAGATTGCCAGGAGATTATGGTTGGAGCTCAGAAGACCAGAATGGCGATATAAATGCAGAGACCAAAGAACCAAAAGCTACTGAGACATTTGATTAAGGTAAGGAAATAAAGAATGGGTAACAGTTGAAGGTAGTTACAAATACTAAGTGTGAGTGCACAACTGGTTATAGAAACAAGGCTTGTAACTGTCATTAATACTTCTATTTTATTAATATGCTTGTGCATATATACATATATTAAACAGGTTTCTTTATTTTCTTTCTTTGTAATGTAATGCTGATTAACTTAATAGTGGTTCTTAAGTATTGTCAAATCTATATTATAATGTTAAACTATGGAAGATTGGTAACCTCGGTTCATGAACTTAATTTGTTTTACAATTTTGGAAAGGTGGCCACATTTGTGTTTGTGTGGGAAAGATGGCCACAGTTGTGTTGGTCATCTGATGCAGTTTACAAGCAAAAACAAAATTTTGTGAAATGTGATTCAAATTGTCTGCAAACAAAAGTGTTCATGAATTGACACACTTGTGTATTAGGGTAGAGAAAGTGCTACCTAAAAAAAACTGCCATCTATGTTGGGCAGGGAAATAGTTTCCAGTTGTACGCAGAACAGTTGTATCATGTTAGGTGTAGTTATGAACTTGCTACTGTGTTTGGAGATTAAGTAGATTTAGGAAGATGTGTGTGTTTTTCCAGTTGATATTAATTATGATATATTAATGGGAGTAAGAATGGCCTAATCTGGGTGTGTCTCTGCATGACTCATGTAGTCCAGCAAACAGGGAAAAAGAGTCACCTAGAATGTGGGTGACATCAACCACTAGGCTTTTAGTTTGAGCAGAATAAAAAGGGAAAGAAGAAGGAACTGTTTCTGCTTTTTGGAATATCTCTGGTCTCCATTGCCTTTCAAATCTGGTCTCCCATTCCTCCAGCTTTTCAGGGCAGACTCCAGCCTTCCAAGGCAGACTCTTCCGCCTTCTGATGCGGAATATGCGTGAGCTGCCAACCACAGCTTCTGATGCTCCCAATCTTCCGCCTTCTGATGTTCCCACCACTGACAATGCAGGGATCCTCCAGGTCTTCCACCTTCAATAGCTACTGGCTCCTTTAGCTTTCCAGTGCACAGTGGGGGCATTTCTGATTCTTTAGCCTCTTACCCCACAGACAGATGGCTTGTGTTTCTGATCCTGTAAGCCTACCTAATAAATTTGTGTAATCATATACATATTTTGCAATGAATATATTCCTCTGGGAACCCTATCAAATACAACTGGGAAGCAAGTTGATATTCTCTTACCTGTATGTGGAGTACATGCATGTGTTTAACAAAATGTCTTTATGCTTGGTTTAAATAGTGACTTGATTAGTCCTCCTATAGCGATACCTCAGTTCCTGAATTTAATTCATTCTATGATTCCGGAGAAGATGTCCATGTTTGTGTTTGTGTTCATGTTTGTAGAGTGAGGTATGTGATTCATAAGTAATGGGAACATGAATCAGACCCTGTCTCCTAGCACATCTATGCCCTACAGCACAGTGCCTATTTACCGCCTGCAGTGGCTAGGCACTGGGAAAAGAATACATATCAAGGGCTAAATCTCTTCATGCCTCTGTCCCAAGGATGTCTAAATTCAATCATTGGTTAGGGTTTTAAAAGGCCTTACCCCTAAAAGTAATTAAAGTTATAACCCCTGGATCTCAAAATGTGGCTTTTTCTGAAAGTAGATACATTGCAGGTGTAATTCATCAAGACGAAATCATACTGGAGAGTGGGCTCCTAATCTAATTTAACTGATGTCTTTACAGAAATAATGTCTTGTAAAAGGACAGAGACCCAAGAAGAACACCATATATAAATGAAGGCAGAGATCAAAGTGATGGATCTACAAGTTGAAGAATGACAAAGAGTGCCAGCAAATGCCAGAAGCCAGGAGAGAGACCAGAAGCAGATTCCTCCATCACAGCCCTCAGAGGAAGACAATGCTGTTGACAACTTGATCTTGAACACCTGGACTCCAGAAGTAGGCAATAATGAATTTCTGCTGTTTAAGCCACTCAGTTTGTGGTATTTTGTTACAACAGTCCTAGGAAAATAATATGTCTATTAACATAATTCCTTTCAAGTAGATCACAAGTTCTCAATGAAATGATAACTAAAATTGTAAAGCTTATTGATCTGTTTCTTTTTTGTAGTATTTGAGATTGAACCCAAGGCCTGCACACTGAGCCACACCCACCACCCTTTTATTTGTTTACTTATTCACTTATTATCTTTTATTTTTGAGACAGGATTTCACTAAATTGTTAAGTTGCCCAGCCTGGGCTCAACTTTAGGATTGCCCTGCTCAGGCTGCCAGAGTGCTGTGACTACAGGGATACACCACCATGCCTAGCTTTATCAACCCATTTTCAAAATTAAGAGCACACTTGGGAATACCATCTTTCAAAAGGAGATTGTGGTCTATTATAAATACTGATTCAGTGCAGTGTTTCTGAAAGGAAAGATTTAATATTATATGTTAATGCAGTGAGAAACAGTGAGTGTGGATGTAGAGTGAATGCTGGAGGCTTAGAGCCAAACTTATACAGGTGCAAATTCTACCCGTTTCACTCACCAGGTGTGTCAGTGTAGACAAAAGGCATTGATTCTCTGAGCCCTGGCTTTCTAATCTCTGAATACTCTCTACGGTCTCCTGTATGGCTCTGGGAAGAGCAGAGGTGCTGTGTGAACAGGCCCTGCCCAGCCTGTTCCCACCCCCCAGAGGAGGCCTGCACACCTTCAGCTTGAACACCCCACCCCTGGCTCGGGCTCGGCTGTGGGGACCTCACGGCCTTCCAGCTCCTTCGTCAGCTCTCAGCATCACACCACAGGCTCCACCCTGCCTCACTCTGGTTCTTGCCGTTCATTTTCTAGGAATCCACTGTACAATGATTATCCATCTGGTATATATTTCAGGAAATCGATCATTTATTCACAATCAGATCATTCTCTTCATCTAAGAGATTTTACACTAGAAAAAAATCAGTCCTGTGAGTCTAGCAGTCAGCAATCTGTGAACTACAGAGGACACAAAAATCTAAGAAATAAATGTCCTCTGGGAACTGAGCAAACACCCATGGCAGAGCTGCTGCGACCACACATTTTCTCTGCAGAAGCACAGAGCTACATGCAAGGGGAGAAGCCTTGGAATCATATAAGCATGAACACAGCCACTTGGATAATTCTCAGTTGTGTGTGCTTTCCCTAGAAATCTTTATGCCCAGATTGTAAAATTATTAGATTCAGGGGATACATATTATGACATTTATGATACATAATTTTTAGTTTTCCAACCAGTTTTAACCACAACTTCCTCACCAAGGTGACTTTTAGAAATAAAACACAAACTCAAACAAAGCCAGGGCTACAAGTGTGGCACACAAGTAAAGTACCTGTCTAGCACATGAGAGTTCCTCTCCCCAAACCCCAGCCCTAGAAAATAAAAGTTCAAATAAATAGTCACATTTTCTAGCAATGTGGTGCATAAATCGTGGATTACTGTCCTGGCTCACTTTTATTTTTCCGGGTTTTCTCTCTGTGCCCGGAGGAGGAACACACCTGTAACTGCTCAAGTGTGGCCACCACGAACTGCCTGTAGCCATCGAAGTCAGCACACGGGTTACCCATGAGGAAGAGCTCCTTCAGGTGGATGTTGTGTTTCAGGCTTTTAATGCTGCTCAGCTCCCCAACGAAATTCACAGTCAAGTCAAGTTTTGTCAGCACTTCACATCCTGTGGAGAACAGAGAAGAGGAAGAAAGGGGGAGATCATGATGGTACCAAAATGCATGCTATGGGTAACAGTGAGTTGTAAAATTTTGATGCTCAGAGGAATGTCATGGAAAGGGTGAGCCTCTGGAGCAGAGATTTGTGCTGTTATGGACTCTTCCATCTTCCCCTTTATTACCCAGATAGCCAAATGCTGCTGATACTTCAATGAAATTCAATTTGAATTTGAATTAATTCCCTTCACATTCCATGGGAACTTGGTGGTTAGGAGTCCAGACTTTGGAATGAGGCAACTATGAATTCAAATCCTACTTCTGTCTCATCCTTGCTGATAATGATCTTGGACAAGTTATCAGTCTTAGTCTCATCATCTACTGAATTACAATATCACCAGTAATATTACTGGTAGGAATTGCTGTAAAGATGACGTAAGGTGTTTAGTGCAAAATGCTTGGAACGGTGCCCCACTACTCAAACTGCTTCATAAACATGAGCTATGACACAGTCCCCAAAGAGGGCTCTTCTGGTTACCCTACGGCTATGTGGAAACAGGTTCCTGGGGAAAAGAAGTAGGTGTTCTCTCCAGCAGACAGCTTGCAGTTTTTACTGTGAACTAAGCAAGAATTAACCTGGTTGACACATCTGCCTTTGTGGGCTTGGTGGAGTATAAATCTGACTTTCCCTGAATTCAGACACCATGGAATGGACACGGAAGCATTTGCAGCACTTGTATGAGACAATGGAGCAGATAATGCATTCATTTCTTCAAACTTTTTTTTTTTGTCTTTTTCCTTTTTATTGGTACTGGGGATCGAATTCATGGCTGCCTACTTGCAAGGCAGGCGCTTATGCCGCTGAGCTAAATCCCCAGGCCCTCATTTCTTCAAACTTTTGCACACTGCATCCTTCTCTGTGCTTCCTGACTACATGTAGCTTTTCTGTCACTGTTTTGTGATTATTGAATTTAGAGTCAGCTTTGGTTCCTGATAGCTTAATGTGAGCTTGATTTAAACTAGCTCATAATTCTATAACTGGGTAATCTTTGGAAATGTTGTCCTCACCTCTATACCTGCAGTAGAATGAAAGCCACTTAGTTGAGATAGTTCCCTTCCTCTTACTCTTTCTTAACTCTTGTACCAGACACCACTCAGTCACAATTTCAGACTTTTTCTTCTCTATTCAGATCCCAAATCAGCCTCCTCCAAATAACTCAGATCTACTGTACTGTTTCCAGAGAGAAGTGCTCACTTCATATCCATCCATCACCCCTGCATTCAAGCAGGAGTTACAGGTACCTGCTATTTACAAGTTACTGTGTCTGTTCTTCAGGATAAAGTGATAAAAATGTAATCCATAGTCTCTGCTCTTAAGCTTATCTAAGACAAATGGAACTAGAAAAGAAAACTGAACTTGGAAAAGCATCAAGAAGTGAAGCAGAACCCAGAAGTAAGCACAGTGTACACTGTAACCCGCACTAAATTGATGGTCACTGGTACTTCTTTCTCAATCCCCATTCTTTCCTGAACTCTGTGCTCCTGGCTCTCACTTTCCCAGTATTCTACACAACCCCTTTAAAGGTGACACAGGATCTTCCTGTTGGCTAATCTCAGAACCCTTCTTAAACACACAGCACCACTAGAACAATCTGCTGCTTCTGGCTTGATCATGTATTCTTGTTAAAACTTTAAGCTGTCTTGTATGGACTTCTCAAACCCTTTTCGGCAATACAACCCAGAGCTTTACTCTTGACCCAGGCTTTTCTCATTGTCTTCTGGGTGACAACACTTGTCGTCACTGGATTTGTGACCCCTAATTTTGATGAATCTCACATAACTCCTCCATACCTGATCTCCCAACTGAATAGACACATCATATTTAATATTTCCCAAACACAATCCATCCCATTTACTTTTACTTTTCAGTTCTCAACACAGGTGCTCTGTCTTTATGTCTAAAATGTCACCACCACTGTCTTGGTGTCATATGAGTTTGACATAAAAAGGAAGCCAGGATCTCAAAGTTAATCTAAATCACTTTCTCTCGTCCTTCATGTCACCAGCATGCCCTACTGGTCTTCTCTCCTACATTCTTCTCACATATTTCCTATCCACTAATATCCTATTACACTACAGTTCAGGTTCTCCTTACTTTTGCATGGAATATGGAAATAATCTCCAAAATCTGAACATACATGTAGGACATGAAGAAGAAGGGGAAATGGAAAAATAGAAAAACAAATGATAACATTGGAATAATTTGATGTGCCACAAAACAAGGGAATATTCAGAGAAAGGAAAGAACATAGCAAACCAAAGAAGCCTGTTTGCAAGGGCTCTCCCAGCCAAACATGGAATAAATTGATTATCAAGTTAAATAATGGTAGTAATATAATTCATGAGTCCATAATCCTGTTAGGATGAATGAATGAATGAATGAATGAATGAATGAATGAATGAGAGATAAGACAAAGTTACTCCTTAGGATAGAATGTCATCTAACACATAGAAACAATGATAGAATTATGTTATTGAAGAATGTTAAAACTAATGTATGAGAGTATAAGGGGGAAAAAGATATTCACATAATGTCAAAGTATCTTCCCACAAATTACTCATTATTTGCATAATGAAATATAGCAACTTTAGAGTGGAGAGATGTAGATACTGCCTTTCCCTTCATTCTTTTTATGGTAGACACTCTCAAACAACACACATGATCTCTTTTAAATTTCCTGCACAGCATTCATTCATGGAGACTGGGGAGTTACCCTGTACAATACTTCCTTTAGTACACATAAAAAAGACACCTTGACAAAAGACAGGGGATTACGAAATGCTTGCAGAAGGAAGGAAGGAAGAGATGGAATGAGGGAGGGGGCAAGAAAAGAAAGAATGAGGGTAGAAGACAAAGAAAGAGGATAAATGGGTAAGTAGAGAAGATCAGGGATTAGTTGATTCAGGTGAAACGTAAAGGAAGTACAGCTTCAGAGCTAACAGAGAAAGGAGGAAACAAACGAACTGACAATGCTGAATCCAGGTCAAATTCTGCCAGTCCCTACAGGTGGCTCTTAGAGTTATGCATTAAGTTATGGCAAGGATAATTACAAATCAGCACACATCCAAAGAGAAGAGACCTACACATCAAATGTAGAACAATGGTTATGCAGCATTGCAATAACATTAAAATTGACAATTATGGGAACTGTATCACCACAAGAGGAAAGCTTATAAGATGATGAAAGTGGAAACAAGAAGACATAATATTGCTTGTATGTTACAATTACAATATAAAACAAAGGAAAATTAGCATTACACAATGATAACAGGAATAGAATTGAGAAGAAATATTCTGCCATTCAAAAAATTGTAAGATTGTTATATTTGATATTTTTCTCATACATAAAAGGAAAAATACATGAACCCGATAGAACACTAGGAAAGATACAAGTACCATTTTCTCAAGTATCATGAGTGTGTTTCCCATACATACAGGATGGTTTTTAATTACATGGCTAACACACTGATTTAGTGCTTACCTTGAATAAAAGTCTTCATAAACAGCATTTTACTTAGCGATAACACTATGCCTATGGAAGAGGTACCATGGCGACTGTCCCCATTTATGGTTGAATACTAGGTGTGGGCACTTGGTTCCCAGAGGCACAACGGAAAACATTCATACCATCACCATTCCCCCCAAGGATTCTGGCCTGTATAACTTCTGTACCTATCTGCTCCTGGGCTGGCCATTGTGACTCATGTGACAAATAGACTCTGGAAAAAGCAAAGTTCTGGGACTTCTAAAGCTGGGTCAGAAGATGCCCATGGTTTCCACTAGGGGTATATAATGCACACTCTGGAAGGTTCTTTCTTGGAATAATGACTCTCGTACTGGTCAGAGGCCACACAATATGTCTCGCTATCTAGAGTCCATCATGCTATGAGAGTCCAAGCCACCTGGGTAACCTTGAGGCAGTACAAGAGAATAGAACCTGTGTTTGTGGAAAGAGTACTGGCCAGGACACAGAAGCCACTGAAGAAACAGGGTCTCCCATAGTTGCTGCTGCAGGAATGCCCGGCTCAGTCACACACCTTTAAGCTCCTGACCCATAAATCTGGGGGCTGGGGACACTGGGTCTGGAAGGAGATTTCTGGTTATTAATCTTGCTTCACTACAATAGATAAATGCAACTCTGAAGCAAATGAGCTAAGAAGTTACTAATGTTTACATAGCTCCTATGTGGAGAAGTTGGGATTTGAACTCAGATCTGCCATCTAAAGAGTCTCTCTAAACTAGCCAATCTTAGCATTTATTACAAACATCACCACCATCACTACCATCAACACTTTAATATTCCCAAACTAAAACTTTTGTGAAGCACCAATACGGGTTTGTCAGTAAAAGCCATTGCCCCCACCAGCAGAGAGGTGGCCAGGCAGGACTTTCCTGGAATTCACAATGGTAGAGAAGGTCAAACCAGCCTGGAAAAGGAAGGAGAAGGAAAGTGGTGAAGAAAGGTCAGACAGTCAGCTGGGAATTAAATGTACTCTCAGCTCCCAACCAAATGCTGCATCAGAAGACCAGTCACCATGAAACAGTCCACAGCCCGCATCTCACATTCGCCCTTGTTATGTCACATAAAAATAAAAGGAGGGGAGATGGGAGAGAATTGAGAAGCTTGAGGACAGTGGGAGGGGACAAACTCTCCATCTTTCCCCCATGGACACTGCTAGGTGATGTCTAAAAGGGGAATGTGAAAAAATAGGTGTAGTACATGTACATTACTCAGAAACACGGGGATAAGCATGGTGTAGACACACTGCTTAGATGCAGGTGGGAGAACCAACACAGAACTGAGAGCAATCGCCTCTGGAGAGTGGGACACGGAATAAGGGGGCACTGGCAGGGGATACTAATACAGCACTCTGAATTTAATCTATTGTTTTGCTATGGAAAAAATATTACACAGTGAAGGAAAAAATCAACAGAACACAAAGGTAACCT